ACAATTACTGTATGTTATCTCTTACATAAACCATTATCAGTGACTACATTGTCCAATGAAGGTAGTCCACAGAGGGTTTTTGATTCAAAGAACCGGACCTGATCTTCCCTTTCTTGGACTGAACCTGATTGCCTCCCATTCCTCCAGGTGTTATATCACCCTTATGGGTTTAGTGCTTTTTTTTAGATAACATAGTGACTGCCAGTGTGATTTATTTTAAAGGATACTGCTAAATTCATAGGATCTGTAGAGTGCCTGAGACATTCAGGTTTTATCCAAGGAAGGACAGGACTTAGCCTCCCTATGGGTTTAATGTTTACCCCCTCATTAAAATAAAAATTAATTTAACCATACCTGGAGGGGGTATATGTAGAGGGTGTTCCACGAGTCAACACCCCCATGGCCTGTTCCATGACCAGGCCATGGGTCAATATTTTATCTAACAAAAAGTACTAAACCTGTAAGGATCATACAGCAACTGGGGAATGGGAGGCAGCTGGGTTTGATCCAAGGAAAGGGAGGTCGAGTCCAATTTTCCAGATCAAGAGCTCCACACCAGCATCAAGGAAACTTGCCCTGAAGGGGTTGGGAATCATATATTATACATTTATATGCAGAGTTGTATGATCCATGTGGGTTTAGTACATGCTTTGGATAACAACAATAATAATTATGGTAAAACTTTAAACAGTCTTCAAAAAATACATCTTGTAAAAATCAGTACAGTAGTCTTCAAAGAAATCAGCTATCTTATAAAAATTGTATTCTGGATTAAAAATGAAGTCATGACTATATTTCATTGTGCTACTCTACTTTCAATTCATACATTATAAAGTATACATTATATATATTTATCTGTGTTCTTGTGTATTAACTACCCAAAGCTGCCTTTCACTTAGTAAAATGGCCACATAATTAATTGTTAGGTAAAAGGACACAAATGCAACATTTTATTGTGGTATTAGCAGCACTTGCATCCTTTTTGCCTGACATATTGTTGGTAATTCTACCACCATTATTACAATTAATTCTATTTTGATAGACTAATGTCTAGAAATTGATGAATATTGTGATTTTTTTTTTTTATATTATTTCCCTCCAGGGAGGTTCGTTTGGATCAAACCTAATTGCCACCCATTTCCTTCAGGCACTGCACAACCTCTGTGGGTTTAGTGTTCTTCTCATGAATGTAATAACAATATAATAATATACTGTTACAATAATAAGAGCACTACTAGTACTAATATTTTATATGACAATAATATGATTAGTTAATTATTTAATATGAAAAAGTTAAAATTAGATTGAAAAAAATTTCTAAAAAAGAAATTGACTCATAAGGCCTCATTAATGGCTGGAAAACAAGGAGGGAATGTATAATTTTAGGCAGGAATTATTTCCATAACTCTTTGATAAATGCACCCTTCACTGGGATGCCTTAATGCTATTAAAGGGTTGTTTACCCAGTAAATTAGAGCTGCCATTCCCTTCCTTGGATCAAAGCTAACTGCCTAACATTCCCTAGGTGCTGTTCGATCCCTATTTCCTTAAGGAAGGTGCCTTGATGATGTAAGGGGTTTTCCTTTCCTTGGATTGAACCCGACTGCCTTGCAGTTCCCCAGGTGATGTATTACCCCTATTGGTTTAGGGCTTCCCATGAATGTAATAATAATAATATTGTATTACCCCCTATGAGATCAGCAATTCCACCATGAAAATATGATATTTGTAAGGTAGGAGAAAATACCTCTGCTTTACTGTAAAAATTTAAAGAAATGTCTTTTTTTTTTTAGTTTTACTTTGAAAATTATTATAAATTGGAGGCAGTGGAGATGTCCTGTCTAAGGGTAATGTGTGGTGTAAATATTATGCAGAAAATTCGGAGTGTGGAAATTAGGAAAAGGTGTGGAGTTAATAAAAGTATTAGTCAGAGGGCAGAAGAGGGGTTGTTGAGGTGGTTTGGTCATTTAGAGAGAATGGAAAGCATATAAATCTATAGGGGAAGGAAGGCGGGGTAGGGGTCGTCCTCGAAAGGGTTGGAGAGAGGGGGTAAAGGAAGTTTTTGTGGGCGAGGGCTTGGACTTCCAGCAAGCGTGCGTGAGCGTGTTAGATAGGAGTGAATGGAGACGAATGGTACTTGGGACCTGATGATCTGTTGGAGTGTGAGCAGGGTAATATTTAGTGAAGGGATTCAGGAAACCGGTTATTTTCATATAGTCGGACTTGAGTCCTGGAAATGGGAAAGTACAATGCCTGCACTTTAAAGGAGGGGTTCAGATATTAGCAGTTTGGAGGGATATGTTGTGTATCTTTATACGTATATGCTTCTAAACTGTTTGTATTCTGAGCACCTCTGCAAAAACAGTGATAATGTGTGAGTGAGGTGAGAGTGTTGAATGATGATGAAAGTATTTTCTTTTGGTGATTTCTTTCCTTTTGGGTCACCCTGCCTCGGTGGGAGACGCCGACTGTTGAGAAAAAAAAAAATCCAATATAAAGCATATAGAAAACTAACTAATTTTGTTCCTACATACATTTATTTGTCACAACATGATGAAAATAACGAAAGAAATATGTAATACATACTTCCTTTATAAAGCTCCTCTATTTTTTTTTTTTTTAACATGTCGGCAGTTTCCCACCAAGGCAGGGTGACCCAAAAGAAAAACTCAGAAAGAAAGAAAAAACTTTCATTGTCATTCAACACTTTCACCATCACTCAAACATAATCACTGTCTTTGCAGAGGTGCCCAGATACGACAGTTTAGATAGTCACTCCAAACTGCCAATAGCCCAGACCCCTCCTTGAAAGTGCAGGCATTGTACTTCCCATTTCCAGGACTCAAGTCCGGCTAGCCAGTTTCCCTAAATCCCTTCACAAAATATTACCCTGTTCACACTCCAATAGCTCATCAGGTCCCAAAAACCATTCATCTCCATTCATTCCTATCTAACACACTCATGCATGCTTGCTATTTTTTTATAAATGCAATTGAAAAAATACAACCAGAATTGTATGGCACATAAAAATGCCCTTATAATATGCGCTGTTAAATTTTGGACTTATTCTGTTGCATTTATGAAAAAAAATCAGTATATAGAGGAGCTTTAAGACAGTCTACTCAACATTCAACCGATGGGACTGTTATTATCGTAAGCAATATTCATGAAAAATGCTGAACCTGAGAGTTGACTGGTGCTACTGTGCTATTATATTTATGAAAGGAGCTCTAAATTCATAGGGGGTCATATAGAACCTTTGGGAATGAGAGGCAATTATATTCGATCCAAGAAAGGGTAAGACAAATCCAATTCCTTGGATCAAGACCCCCCTCACAGGTAGAAAAAAAAAAGTTAGTGTTGAAGGTAGGACATCAGTAGAAAGGAGGGGGTCACAGATCAGCGTCATTTAACACAAGAATGAAGGAACACTGTTGGAACAAGTGTAGAAGTCTTAAAGAGGAAGCTGGACAAGTATCTTCACCAGGTGCCAGTTCAACTAGGTTGTGATGGATATGTGGGGCAGCAGGCCACCAGCAGCAAGAACCTGGTTGACCAGGCAAGCACCAGACAAGCCTGGCCCATGGCCAGGCTCTGGGAGTAGAAAGACTCTTGGAACTCATCAAAGGTATATCAAACATAAAGGTAAGTCCCACTGGCCCATACTAAGCAGCAGGTCTAGCTCTCACTCACCCACACCTCATGTACTTGTCCAAACTATATTTAAGAAATGGAATTGCCTGCAGCAATAGCTGGGCCATCAGAAAGAAGTGCAAAAAAAGCAAGCATGTAAGGGTGTCAGAGTAGGTATTTAAAATGAAACAAGCACGCTCTTTGATGAACAAGACAAGTTATTGTCCTGTCACAATGACCTTACCATCCTTGCAGTGATTGCTAGGAACACCTTTCACACTCTTTAAGAGACAAATGACTAAAAATACAATATACTAATAGAAACTACCCCATGTTGATTTTCTTGAGATTACTTGTATACAAAAAAAAAAAAGTAAGAATGGGTAACTCAAGAAAGTCAGTGCATCATCGAGGACTGTATCTTATTTCCACTAGAGTTCTTAAATCTTGTCCCCCAGGATGTGACCCACACAAACTGACTAACACCTAAGTATGTACCTACTTGCATGCTAGGTGAATGGAACAGCAGGTGTAAGGAAACATGCCAAATGTTTCCACCGTTAGCAAGGATCAAACGATGGAGACTAAGCATGTGAATTGAGAGCGTTGCCTATCAGGCCGCAGAACACCCAGAATTGTTCAGCAAACTCAGTCTTTGGTTGCTAGATGGCAGCACTAGCAGATACAGAAGAGTTCCTGGTAGATCTCCAAGAGGAGAATTCATGGATAGAGGTCCTTACAAATGCAAAATCATCTAAACAGAAGTCATCCATTGCTGCAGTTAGAACCATTCTACTAAAAGCCTCAACCACTGGGACAGTAGTTGATGCTTCTGATAGTCTTGTTTGGAATATCTCTGGGTTCCCAGGCCATTCTCACAGTTCTCAAAAAAAATGACCTGAAGATGTAACAAAATGGTTATGGTGCCTAACTTTGTCCAAGCTAATCCTCCTTGAGCAACTCAAAACTGAGTGAACATGGAAAAATTAAATACAAATGCAGTATAATGCGATCCTTTATTGACTACATTTCGCCCACACAGTGGACTTTATCAAGTCACAAACATTATACTGCATTTGTGTTTAATTTTTTCATCATGTCGGTATTTTCACTGACTGAATATAATGAAACACCTGAAGTAGATATTCAGGAAACCACTCAGCCTTTTCCTAAAAACTTGCTAATGGAATTATGCAATGCTGACAGTTAACCTGGGAGTGGGAATATAGGAGTCCCCCAAGGCAGTGCTGATAGCAATATTGGCATTCCTGTCTTCATGTAATAATAATAATACTGGTCCCTAACTTCTTCCTGGATGTGCACACCCTTGAGCCATTCACACTAGTGTATCCTTTTTGCCTAATAAAACCTGCAGACCAATGTGGCCTCCATGGTCTCATTTGTCATATCAGAGGGCAAGAACACCACTGCCCATCACAAAGGATGGGGAATCCTTGCCAGGCAAATTCAGCAGCAGTCAGATGTGTCCAGATGGAGCTACCATACTACTCTAGAAATGACATGGGACTACACATGTGCATCTACAATGACTGGCACTTATCTCAGATACAAGGAATATGAAGAAGTTAGGAGGCACGGCCAGGATCTGAGAACACGCAGCATATAGTACCGGAATGTAAAACTCTTACTGTAAACTTGAATCAACATACAGTATTTCCTTTTTAAAAATACCATAGTATTGTACTGTCAAAAATCAAATTAAAATTAGTATATCTGGAATAATTATACAAGGTTAAAATAAATGTGCACATAATTCAAGGATCACCTTTCTCTATATTTCTACATAACTTTCTGGCATACTCTTCAATATAAGTGGTATGAAAACATAACTCATAATATCTTGACAATATATCCTGTAATTTTTTATGTTCAATGGACAATCATTTCATGAAAAATTTCCAGTAAATTATACCACCAAGAATTCCCATCTCTAGCAATATTATAATTATTAAAAGTATCTTATTATACAAGACATGATGTGACATGGATCGAATTATTCTTTTACTTCTACTAAGTTCAGCATCGGTGTTGATTAACCTGTCTCTTGTTCGAGTCAATGTTTCTCTCTGAGTTCCCAATTCACCGAGGACTTCTGTGCCAACTTGTTCAGTTTCAATTGCAATTGTGGTAGAACGTGCTATGCTTGCAGAGGTTCGCTCCAGAACTGCACTGCCTTGTTTAACCTACAATTATATTTATCACTGAGTTTGAGAAATTAGACATGTGCAACACTTGGATATATTTATTGTGGAGACGTTTCACTACACAGTTGCTTCATCAGCCCAATACAAAGAAGAATGGTAAAGATCAGGAAGAGTGTGAGGTAATCAGTCCCTCAGGCTGGAGTCGATGTAATCAGACTATCAATCTTATCAAGATTGTTGTAATCAGTCCATCAGTCTTATCAAGACTGATGGTCTGATTACATTAACTCCAGGCTGGGGGACTGATTATTTCACACTCCTTCTAATCTTCACCATTCTTCTTTTTACTGGACTGATGAAGTACTGTGTGGCAAAACGTTTCCACAATAAAGATGCCCAAGTGTTGCATGTGTGTCTAATTTATCAATTTGTTGGTTCTCTGAACCACTTATCTACATCACTGCACTTAACTACACAGTCTCACTAGTGTACTATAAAGAATTTTTTCAATATAATTTGTAATGAATCTTTCAATTAAATGACATCATCAGCAGTGTAAATGGATCACTCACCTGTTTACGAATTTCGGCTTTAAATGTGTCACTGTCTTGAGCACTGGTTATGTGAGAATGTGTAGCCTTCTCTCGTTCAAACCGCTTCTGGTATCTAAAATTTAATAAAAAAAATTACCACTGAAAAGCAAACTAATAATCAAAACATCATCATGCAGCAAAAGTCAACAAATATAGGTTTCCTCCTGTTTTATGTAGATTTGCCTTATTCTAATTTGCTCTTATACAATTATGCATATGCGATTCACAGCTGTCATATGCAATCGGCACAGTTCACAAAGCAAATTAAAGATATTTACTGGCCACAAGTGTTTATAGCATGAATGTGTTTCATACAGTTGCTAAGAACCTGAAACACATCTATGGTATAAAACGAGGTACATCTCTGTCTTATTTTAGTTCAGTACAGTGGACCCTCAGTTATCAGCCGTAATCTGTTCCAGAAAGTCGGCCTAAAACCAAAATAATATTTCCCACAAGAATTAATGTAAATACAATTAATCCGTTCCAGACACCCATAAATATTTAAAAAAAAAAACATTTTTTAAAGATTAATTATAGTTTTACATACACAAAACAATGAGAACTAAATAAAATAAATAAACCAACATTTAAAATCAATGTTACATACCTTTATTGAAGACTCTTGTTGGCTTATGGAAGACAGGGAGGAGGAGAGAGGAAGGATTGATTATTGTTTGGAAGGGGAATCTCCTTCCATAAGGACTTCAGGTATCAAAGCCCCCTCTGGAGTTACTTCCCTTCCTGCCTGCTACACTCCCTGTTTCCCTGCTACACTCCTTGCCTCCCTGCTACACTCCCTCCCTCCATGCTACACTCCCTACATGCCTGCTACACTCCCTGCCTCCCTTCCACATTCCCTGTTTTCCTGCTACACTCCTTCCCTCCATGCTACACTCCCTGCCTGCCTGCTACACTTCCTGCATGCCTGCTACACTCCCTGCCTCCTTTCCACATTCCCTGTTTCCCTGCTACACTCCCTCCCTCCATGCTACACTCCCTGCTTTTCTTCCACAGCATATGTGTAAAGACCCTAGGATAACCCAAAAAAGTGAGAGTGACTAATTTCCAATGGGGTCCTGCCTCCCTGCTAAACTCCCTTTCACAACATTAGCTTCCTTGATGTTTGGATGAATGAGCAGAAGTGTCCTCATTCACCAAGAGACAAAGCCAAACTGGCTCACTAATGTGCGAGTGGCTGGTGGGCAGGCAGATGGACACCCAAAATGGCCGATAAGTAAAATAATGGCCGATAACCGAATTGGCCAATAAGCGGAATGGCCGATAACCGAGGGTCCACTGTACTGTAGTAATATCTCGGAACCCATCTTCTCAGTACTGTAAATGTCAGAAATAATGATGAGTAAATATCACAACACTGTGGCTGGTGCAATTCACAACTAACCCTCTCTCTGCAGAGGTAACTTTGGATGATATAAGAATGGTCCAGGATACACAAATAACCCACACACAGGAGAAAGTGTGTGGCTAGTTAATGGTCCAAGTCAGATTGAAATGTTGTCATAAGTTTTTTTCCTATGTGCACATTATTTTTGTATTGTGCCTTTTTGGTCTTTATGGTTCAGGATATAGTGAAGCATCTAAAGAATACTCTAAAATTTGCAGGTTTACCTGTTAATTTTGCATCTGGAATAATAGCTGTGCAGATGTAACATATACTGTATGATTATGTGTAAAATATTTCTTATTTCTGCAATATAGAAGTGTACGCAACATATTTAACAAGCTGTCCATATCTCACCTAGTAGGGTGATGAAAGAGAGAGGGAACACACATTCACCATCATTCACTCCATCACAGTCTTGTCAGAAATGTGCTGACATCACAGTTCAGATGACCCTCAAACTACAACATCCCCACCCTCCTCCAGAGTGCAGGCAATGTACTTCCAAATTCCAGGACTCAAGTCTGGCTAACTGGTTTCTTTGAATCTCTTCATAAATGTTACCTTGCTCACACTCCAACTGCACGTTGTTAGGTAAGACACATATGCAACAGTTAGACAACTTTATTCCGAAACGTTTCGGAATAAAGTTGTCTAACTGTTGCATATGTGTCTTACCTAACAACCTGTCGGTATTGTATACCATTTTGATGTTCATCTCCAACTGCACATTAAGCCATAAAAACCAATTGCCTCCACTCATATCTAACATGCTTACACACATGTTGGATGTCCAAGCCCCTTGCATACAAAACCTCCTTTACCCTGTCCCTTAAATCTCTCACAGAACAGCCCCTACCCTGCTTTCACTATAATACAGATTTAAGCACCCTCTAAGTCATCCTATTTTTCTCCACTGTCTCTAAATGTTCAAACCATGGATAACTTTTGCTGTTTCCACAGATGCCTCAGTGCACCACCACCTTTTTCTCCTTGCTATTTCTAAGGTTCACCTAATCTTTCAAAGATCTGCCTGCTGACAAAGCCACTCCCAAATATCTGAATGCATTCATTAACTCCATACTCCCTCCTTTCAATCTGATATCCAGTCTTTCATTAGCTAATTTTTTTGTTACTTTCATCATGTTGGTCTTTCCTATGTTCACTTTTAATTTCCTTCTTTTACATACCCTCCAAAATTTGTCCACCAACCTTTGAAGCTCCTCTTTAGAATTTTTCAAAGGTACTTTGTCATAAAAAACCATACCACGGGCGGGATTTGAACCTGTGGTCAGAGTCTCAAAACTCCACTCTCTCTGACCGCGGGTTCAAATCCCGCCCGTGGTATGGTTTGTTTGCAATTGTGTCATTACGATTTCATGAGTCATACTGTGTCATCAGCAAAAAGCAACTGTGACAACTCCCACTTGGTATTGGATTCTATCTTTTAATCCCATACCTTTCCCCAACACCTTAGTACTATTCATTTCTTTTACAACCCCAACTGTAAATATGTTAAACAGCCATGATGACATCATGAATCCCTGTCTAAAGCCAACTTTTACTGGAAAATAATTTCCTTCTCTCCTACATACCCTAACTTGAGTCTCAATGTCCTCATAAAAACTCTTAACTGCTTTTAGAAACCTATCATTTATTCCATACGCTTGCAACAACTGTAACATTACTCCCCTATCCACCTTATCGTATGCCTTTTTTAAATCCATAAATGCAACGAAAACTTCCTTACCTTTATTGAGATAGTGTTCACTTATGTGCTTCAATGTAAAAAGTAACTGCCCACAATAGGCAGCAATAGTAGAATATTTTTACTTCATAGACAGAAATTAAAAAATACATACGCAATTAAAATCAGAAAATAAAAATTTTATCTAAATTATTTTTCAATGGAGGTAAATGAAGTGCAAGACAATTTGTATCCTACTCATGGCACTGTAAGGTAAAAAAAACTTGTTATAATGAAAGATAGTGCTGGGGGATAACAGCAGAACCCTTGTATCTGTAGATTCAGTTTCCACAGTTTCACTTATCCATGGTTTACTGTGGCTGAAAAATAAGCCTTTACTGTGTTTAATGCTGACCCCAAAGCACATGTTCAGATGGCAGATGTTCAAAGCCTAAGAGAAGCCATGAAGTGCTTCCCATCAGTGAAAAAGTGCTAATTCTCCACTTACTGTGTGTAATTTATCAATTAAACTTTATCCCAGGTATGTATGTAAGTGAAAAATGACTTATATATAGAGTTCGCTACTATCCACAGTTTCAGGGGTCCATGGTAGGTCTTGGAGCGTATCCCTGCGGATACAGGGGGGGACTACTGTATTTTTTTTTTAACAAGTCGGCCGTCTCCCACTGCGGCAGGGTGACCCAAAAAGAAAGAAATTCCCCAAAAAGAAAATACTAAAAAGAATAAGACTACTTTATATAAATAATAATTTGGGATTTTATAATTCTTGAGGGCCTGTTCTTTCATGAAATTCACAGGCACTTACATACAAAAATCATGAATACAGCAATGGCTAAAAAAAAAAAAAATAGTACTAAAGTTTACATTCAAGAGTGACAGAAGTGACCTGTTTCCTGATGAATCTTACCTAACCTAAGAGTGACAGTATAATCGTAAGCTCTAGAAAAGATGTGCTTTCAACCTAGACCAAATACAAATTATTATTATTATTATTATTATTATAATCAAAACTAAGCACTAAACCAATGGGGCATACAGTGCTGAACCAAATAAAAACAGTTTCAGTTTGTCTATCTGTTTGATATCCACGTCCCTCATGACAGTAATATTAGTTAATTTTGTACGTATTCATTAATTTGAATACGTACAGAAAGGACATCATGATATACAAATATGTGCAGGTAGTAAACATGCTTGTCAATAACTAAAGTCCAATGATCTGACGCTGGAAAGTAAGGTAAGAAACTCGAGTCATAAGCAGAAACCTTAATAATTCATTCTGGTATCGCTGTACTTTGCTGGTCATTGTATTCCTGTACTCAAGAGGAGCTTTCTTTATTTCAATGTCCATTTCCACCAATCCATCACTTGCATCTTTCAATGATCTCTCAATTTCTGATAACAGAGTTTTCCGTTCCTCCTGACTTTTGCATTGTCCAATACCACACTGCAAGGCAAAGTGGGAAAATTAAAACACAGTTTATGCTTTATACCAAAGAGATACAGCAATATTTAACATAATCATAATTGAGCACAGTATTACATTTGCATTATTTTCATATATAGGGGAAGTGCTAAACCCATAAGGGTCATACAACATCTGAGAAATGAGAGACAATCAGGTGGTTCAATTCTCTGGTTCAAGAGTCCTTCACTGGCATCATGTGCTAGATAGCAGAGGAAAAAACACAATTATGATTATTATATTTGAGATACTATGGGAAATATATTGGAAGAAAGAGGGAATGGAAGGGGTCACAGCTGCTGGAGGAAATTGAGATGATGAACACAGAGTCAGAGCATTTAAAAATGTGTTCTGAAATAAAACTACTGTATAATAACATCAGCACTGTATGACCCTAGTGGGTTTAATGCTTTTTTTTTTTTTTTTTTTTTTTTTTTCCAACAAGTCGGCCGTTTCCCACCGAGGCAGGGTGACCCAAAAAAAAAGAAAATCCCC